AGGCTGCCTAATGGGATGGAAAGCAAGGCTCGGCGAGCGTATAGAAGCGTGCTCGACCTCGTCGTGGCAACCTGCACGGCAGCGCTGGCAGGCGCGATGAGCGTCGTGCCACCTGACCCGAGACGGGTCGCAGGCGTCGTACCGTGCGCGTCGAGACCGTGTCCTGATGCGCTCTGCACGGGTGAGTCACGTCGGCGTCAAAGGAGCGACGTGCGACCTGTCAGAGCTTGATCTCCGATCTCAGCGGCGTCGAGTCGTCTCCGGCGCGCGACAAAGGTACATCCCCAGGACGCGCAGAGGCAGCTGCGACCCCGCCGAGTGGACGGTTGCACGTGTGGGCGCGAGTACCGCTATACGCGTCTGCACGTGTGGCCGCGTATCTTGGCTAAGATACGCGCCGGCACAGAATGACACGTATCAGCCCCGCGCCGAGCTCGATGCGCGGCAGCGGGTGAGGGCGGCTATTCTCCCCCGAGGCAGGCGAGGATACACAGTCCCTCGTGTCGCGCGTGTAAGTCCCGGTTGCCGTGCGCGCCAGCGCGTGTGGCCGCGTACCTTAGCTAAGATACGCGCGCACGGGCGTGGGTGGGTCAAAACGGGTCACTTTGCGGGGTTTGCCCACGGTGCTGCAAGCAGCGGAGCGCACGATTTTGTAACGATCGCGTTCACACGATGGGCTGCTTCTCCAGCCGCGTCGAGCCCTGGACCGAGAAGAAGTTGGAGTGGTGGCGCGAGCAGGGCGGCGGCGACCTGGAGCCGGTCCTCGCGAGCGGCGCCATCGCCCTCCTCGACGCGCGGTGGATCATCAGCCACGCCGAGGCGGGCGGCGTCCTCAACCACCGCCAGGCGCTGCCCAAAGAGGCCTTCCTCTCCCTCGCCGACCTCGTCAAGGCGACCGAGAGCAGCATAAGCCTTCCCGTCGCCGCGCTCTCCTACCCGTGGCTGACCAAGGACCACCCCGACCCGCTCGGAGCCAACCTCTCCCGCGTTGCAAGGGCGCTCACGGCCCTGCTCACAGGACTTGGTTCCCGGCGGCTCGGCGTCTTTTGGGACTTCGGCTCGCTGCACCAGCACCCCGACCCCGCCAATGGCGTCGTGCGCACCGAGGAGCAGAACGCGCTCTTCCAGCAGGGGCTGGGCTGCCTCGGCACGCTCTACTCCCACCCCAAAACGACCGTGCTGCGGCTGACCTCCTTCCCGGACGGCCACAAGGCGGAGGACCAGGCCGAGGGCACCAACGTGGCCAAGTACTTTGACCGCGGCTGGTGCGCCACCGAGAACGCCTGGGCGAGCCTGACCAAGGCCGGCCGGCTCTCGCTCGACCTCGGCAAGATGCGCGACGGCGTGGAGTACTACTACCACAGCCTCCGAGACGACTGCGTCCAGGACGGCGGCCGGCGCCCTCCGCGGTTGCCGTCTGCGTTTGCGGCGGAGCTGGCGACGAAGAGCTTCACCAACGGCAAGGAGGACTATCCGCTCGTGAAGCGGCTGTACGAGGCCGCCTTCGAGGAGCAGTTTGGCAAGGCGACCGAGCTGATCTACAGCATGCTCGGCTGGGGCGACGCGGAGGCGGCGCAGCTGGCGGAGGTCCTCGCGAGCGGGGCAGCGCCGCGGCTCGAGAAGCTCGATCTCTACAGCAACAAGATTGGCGACGAGGGCTGCAAGGCGCTGGCTGCCGCCCTCGGCAAGGAGGGGGCAGCGCCACGGCTCGAGGTGCTCCGTCTCACCTTCAACAAGATTGGCGACGAGGGCTGCAAGGCGCTGGCCGCCGCCCTCAAGGAGGGGGCCGCCCCGAGCTTGAAGGCGCGAGACGCCACCCTCGCCACTCGCCCCTCCCCCGCCCAATGCTCATCGCGCCTCCCCTCGCGTGCAGTTGCTCTACGTGGGCCACAAGGAGCCTGAGCTGGTGGCCGTGTGCGAGGAGCGCGGCATCTACCTGGTCTGAGCCTCTCCAGCCCCGGCGAGTAGAGGCGAGTAGGAGGCGCGTAGGAGGCGAGTAGGAGGCGCGTAGGAGGCGAGGAGGAGGCGAGGAGGAGGCGAGGAGGGGGGAGAAAAAAAGAATTTTGAAAAAGAAAAACAGCGTGGCCACAGCTGCTCTTTCGCGAGGCTCCCTGCTTAGCAGCCAGTAAGCCACACATGGAAGACGCGCCTCGGGAAGCGTCCACCCCCCCCGAGGAGGCGGCCAACGGCGCGGCGCCCGCGATCCCGCGCCACGCGCCAGCTGCCGACGCTGCCGACGCTGGCGACGCTGGCGACGCTGGCACCGCTGCCGACGCCGCCGACGCGGGCGGCTCGAACGGGCGGGCGGAAGGGATAGGCAAAAAAGAAAACGGCGCGCGCCTGCGGCCATCACGCTCGCGGTCACACAGACGCAGACCGACAGCGTCCTGCAGACAGACAGCGTCCTGCCGCCCTCGCGCCCCGATGTGCGATCCTCGCGTCGAGGCAGCCGCTCTCGCTGCGACGTACTGTGCCTTCGTCCAAAGCCTCCCGCCGCCGTGGCCCGAGAAGCTTACTGCCGAGCTCTCGCAGTACGTGGGCGACGCAAAGGTCGGCAAGATGAAGGACCAGCTCCGGCAGCTGTTTGCCTTCGCGGGCGAGAAGGACATTGGCCGCATGCTACCCAGCATTGGCATGGTCAATCTGCATGGCCTTAAATCCCGGCCCGATCTCAACGGCCAAACCGGCTGGATCATGGGCGGCCGCAATGAGGCGGACCGGTTGCCCGTGCGCGTGCCGACCGGCGACGCGACCTCGGAGGACGTGCGCGTGCGCCTAGTCAATTTGCGACCGGCAGCGCTCAGCGAGAGGAACCAAAAGCTGGCGGACGAGGAGCCCGGCGAGTGCATGCAGGTGTGGACACGCACCGTGAAGGCTCCCTCAGCGGGGATGACGTGCACCGGCTTGCGTGTGATCGACGTCTGCATGGACGAGCGGATGGGCTTCTCTTCACACTTCCAGGCCGTCATGAAGGTCTTCGAGCAAGGCAAGGAGGCCGGGCAGCCTGTGCTGATCACGCACTCCGGCGCCGGCATGGGGTACAAGTACCGCGGCGAGGACCAGATGGAGGCGGCAGGGCCACTGCAGTGCTCCGCTACTCCATCTCGCGCGTGATCGCGAAGCGCAGCACGCATGTGATCAAGTCGCGCGCCGCGATGCCGTTCGTGTTTCCTGCCGAGTCGAGCTCGTGCCGCTCGTGGATCTCGTAGAGCGAGACGACAAGGAGCGCCGCCCGCGCGCGGGCCGCCGCGGGGAAGAGCGAGTGGCTTGCCGGCGACCACGGCGCCGCCGCCCGCCGGATCAGCGCCGCCGCCTCGCCCTCGCCGCCCGCGGCGCGCTGCAGCGGCGTCGGCTCGCCCTCGTGCAAGTTTGAGCCGCTGCGCAGCAGGGAGAGAGCGCGGGCGGCGGTGAGGGTCTCAAGGTGCGCGAGCGGCGTCCAGCCGCGGCTGGCGACCAGCCAGGCGGCGAGGTCGGCGTGGCCACGGCTGTTTGCCATTTCCTCGGGCGTGCCTAAGGGCGGCACGGCGGCGCGGGAGGCGCCGTAGGAGGAGAGGAGCTTGGCAACCTCGAGGTGGCCCTTGTAGCACGCCATGAGCAGCGGCGTGAAGCCGTCGTCCCCGGCTTGGTTCATCGCCGCGCCGGTCTCGAGGAGCAGCCGGGCGCACTCGAGGCGGCCTTGCCAGCACGCGGCGAGGAGCGGCGTGTATCCGTCAGAATCTGATTGGTTCACCGCAGCGCTGGCGGTGATCATCAGCCGAACGCAATCGATCTCGCCAGCCTGGCTCGCAGCGCTCAGCGGCGTGGTGCCGTCCTCATCGGCTTGGTCGATCGCCGCGCCCGCCTCGAGAAGGAGCCTGGCGCACTCGAGGCAGCCTTTCTCGCACGCAATGAACAGCGGTGTGACGCCGTCGTCCCTGGCTTGGTTGATCAAAGCGCCCGACATGGTCAGCAGCTTGGCGATCTCGAGGTGGCCCTGCCGGCACGCGGCGATCAGCGGCGTGACGCCTCTGGTGTTGGCTTGGCCGACCGCCGCGCTGGCCTCGAGGAGCAGCCGGGCGCACTCGAGGTGGCCGTTCTGGCACGCGATGAGCAGCGCAGATGCGCCGCCGCCGGTCGTCGCCCCGACGCTCGCGCCGGCTTCGAGCAGCAGCCGCACCGCCTCGGCTTGCCCGTGCCGAGCGGCCCAGGTGAGCAGCGTGTCTTGCCTCTCGGTCTCGAGCCGCGCGTCGAGAGTGCCGCGCGTCCGCCGCCCGGAGAGGAGGGCGCGCAGCGAGCCCAGGTCGCCCACCGCCAGGTCGGGCAGCAGAGTTGGGCTCGCCGCGCCGCTCATGCCGCCAGTAAGAAGAAAACAACTCCGCTGTGCGAAACCACGCGATTTGGGACGGGTACGGGCGGGCGTACGGGAGCCTGGCATCCTGTGGAGATACGACGCCGAGGAGCGTACCTTCAGAGGCCGGGGAGGAGGAGGAGGAGTGATCTGCGAGAGTGAAACTGTGCGATTTCGGGGCCCGGGGTTGTGCGTTTACGTGAAATGGTCTTCTGATAAATGCAGTATGGAAGATACAAAGAGACGGAGGAGCAACGAGCGCCCTGGCGTGAGCCGAAGACACTCCCTCCGTAGACACTGATCACACACGGGTGGGACAGGGTGGGTCACAACAACGAGGCACGAGAGCGTGCACGACAGAGCGACAACGCAGCGCACTGCCGTCCAGTCGGCGAAGGGACGGCTGCTGCGCAAAGTGATCAGTTCTAATGAATGTACCGGGGCCCAACGGATAGATGAATCCGGGGCACCCTCCGCTCGAATCCCTGGCCGGGGGTTCGAGGTGGCCCCCACCCTGGGGCCTCCCATCAAAGGGACTGCGGCAGAAGACGCCCAATCTTGCACAAGTGCAAGAACCATACGTCTTCTGATAAATGCAGTATGGAAGATACAAAGAGACGGAGGAGCAACGAGCGCCCTGGCGTGAGCCGAAGACACTCCCAACTGCGCTCCGTCACCGGTGTCGCGGTCTCCCCCACTGAGGACGATCTGCGGGGGGGAGTCGCGCCGCCGGCATGTATCTGGCCTCCTCTGGGAGGTCCATCGGTGTCAGCCTCAACCCGAGCTGGCGAGCGAGCGCGTCCAGCCTGGGCCAAAGCGCCCGGCTGACTGCGTCGCTGAACGCGTTAGCGTCTTCGCTGAGGTGGGCGACCGAAGCGCGCGGCGCCAGATCGCCGAAGGCCTCGGTCTGTCGGAGCAGGCGGTGTGCGAAGCGCAGCAGCGGGCTCCTCTCCGACTCTCGCGAGAGGGCGTACGGGGTGGAGATGGCGTCGCTGAGGAAGACGACCCGCGGGAAGCGCTGAAGCAGCCTCCTGAAGACGATGAACCCGAATGCGAACTCGAGCAGCGTAATATGCATCACGGAGGCCGCGCTCGCGTTGAGAGAGAGACGCCAGTAGAACCCATGGCAGAAACCCCCTAGGCCCGCCGCCGCCGCGTCGTTGCGACCCGAGGTAGCGTCCGAGATGGTGACGCACGCCTTGGATCACGCCGAAGATCTCGTGCTTGGTGGCGAGCGCGGTCTCCTGGAAGATCACGTAGCGCTGCAAGATCATCGAATCGCTCAGGAATACCTCCTTGAGAACCTCCAGCGGGCCAGTCGGGGTGGAGAGGTCGATGCTGCCAATCTTGCGGACCGCGTCCTGGAAGGGGGCGCTGTGGATGGCCTCTCGGAGTGAGTTGTCCGGAAGGCCAGCCGGCGCGCGGTCGAACTTGCCCAACGCCGAGTCCTCGGAGTCGCCTGTCGAAGCCATGACTGGCGCCTTCCTCGAGGGCTCGAGCGATTCGTGAAGCTTGCGCAACCCCTCCAGAATCGAAGCGAACGGCTTGCCGTTGGTCAGCGCGTGTTGGTAGGTGGGTAGCCGCGCGTGAAGCTGAGCATCCAGATCAGTCAGGAGCAGGTCCATAGGGCGCCGGTCCGTCGGAAAGTAGAGCGAGACGAGCTGCCGGTAGGCTTCATAAACGACCGACGGGGGCGTTGGCCGAGGCAGCGCACGGAGCAGAGAGTCGAGCGTCGGCGCCTTGGCTGCAATGGCGCGCGAGCATCGCTGCTCGGCTACTCGGTCACGCGCCACGGTGGTCCCGCCCACATACTCGGCGCGAGTCTCAACCTCCGCAGAGTAGTTCTGAAAAGAGTTGATCCTCAGGCAGGCCGGGAAACTCGAGCGGGTAGCCTTCAGCATGCTGAGCACATGCCGAGCGAGCAGGGCGGGATGCCCGTCGCTCGCTCGCGGAGTGATGTGACCAGCGGCGGCGGCGAGCGATGCAGCCCCCACGACGGTGCTCCCCATGGGATCGACGCGCGCTGCCGCCGTGAAGACGGGCCCCAAGCAGCGGGTCATGTCAGACAGGGCTGCGAATGGGACGTCGGCCGTAGGGTCGCAGAGAGCCCCGACTGTCGCGTACTGCAAGAAGTCGACGGCCTTTGCTTCCGCAGATGGCACCGGTCCCAAGGGTACGATCGCCTCAGAGTACCCCAAGTCGCCCCACTGCAGATAGAGCTCGGGCACCGGGATTTGGCGGGAGTGCAGAGCCTGGACACACACCGTACGGAACGCATCCTCATCCACGTGCACCGTGCCGAACACGCCGAGGTCGGACAAGGCACCGAGGATGCGGCGCCAAGCCGCGGCCAATACGGCCAGCCGCAAGACGCTGAGCCTGTCAAAGTAGGTGGCCACAGCGGGCTCGGGCTCACTGAACGGGAGAAGCGCACTGATGGCGACCCACTGCGGAATCTGGACCCACGACGGTTGCATCCCTGGAGGAGGAGGGGGCAGGTTGAGGAAGGCCGGATTGCCCACCACAGACCACGGAATGAAGCGCAGGGTAGAGCCCACCAAAAGCTGTTGAGTCGACGGGTATCACCAGTGGCTTTGCGGGATCGGGGTGCTGCTCGGCCGGAATGCTGAGCTCGGCGGCAGCGAGGGCTGGCATCGCAGCGCCGGTCGTCTCGTCGAGGACTACCTCTCGACTCTACT